GCGAATAAAGAAGTGGCTGGATGGCCACAATCAAAGAGTTGTGGTCAATGGCTCAATGTCCAGCTGGAGACCAGTAATGAGTGGTGTCCTTCAGGGATCTGTGTTGGGACCAGTCTTGTTCAACATCCTTGACAGTGACATGGACAGTGGGATTGAGTGCGCCCTCAGCAAGTTCGTCAATGACACCAAGTGGCGGGGTTCAGTTGATACGCTGGAGGAAAGGACTGTCATCCAGTGGGACCTTGACATGCTTGTGAGGTGGGCTGATGCCAACCTCATGAAGTTTAATTTAACCATGACAAGTGCAAGGTCCTACACTTGGGTCGGAGCAGTCCCAGGCACAGCTACGGATTGGGCAAAGAAGAGATTCAGAGCAGCCCTGCGGAGAAGGACTCTGAGGTGTTGGTCAATGAGAAAATGAACAAGAGCCAGCTTCAGTGTGTGCTCGCAGCCCACAAAGCCAACCGTATCCTGGGCTGCATCAAAAGCAGCATGACCAGCAGGTCGAAGGAGGTGATCCTGCCCCTTTAATCTGCTCTCATGAGACCTCAACTGGAGTATTATGTGCAGTTCTGGTGTCCTCAACATAAAAAGGACATGGAACTGTTGGAACAAGTCCAGCGGAGGGCCACGAGGATGATCAGGGGACTGGAGCACCTCCCATATGAAGACAGGCTGAGAAAGTTGGGGCTGTTCAGCCTGGAGAAGGCTGCGTGGAAACTTCATAGCAGCCTTCCAGTATCCAAAGGGGGCCTCTAAGGATGCTGGGGAGAGACTCTTCGTTAGGGACTGTACTGATAGGACAAGGGGTAATGGGTTAAAACTTAAAACAGGGGAAGTTTAGATTGGATATAAGGAAGAAATTCTTTACTGTGAAGGTGGTGAGGCACTGCTCAAGGCCACTTTGGATAGAGTCTTGTGTGACACGGTTTAATGTGAGGTGTTCCTGTCCATGGCAGGGGGGTTGGAACTAGATGATCTTAAGGTCCTTTTCAACCCTAACCATTCTATGATTCTACTTCATATTCTTTAATACATATTGTTTGGATAATTACTACATTGCCCTCCAATGTCTCTTCTTTCCCACCCCGCAACTGCTACACTAAATGCAGTCTCTTATCTCAAAGTGCTCAGAAGACAATGATAATATACTTCTAATGATTTTGAATGTTAAGAGGTGTCTTTTGGGCCTTGGAGCTGAAAGTGTGTGCATACCTCCTCCCCAACACTATCAGATAAGCACTAGAATAAGGAGGTTATTTACGCTCCACTAAGATAAATGTCACAAACTGGAGGAAGCCTGCTGCTTTTTTTTGGAAAAGAGCAAAATCTTGTAGCTGGTAGAATTTGCTTTCTGTCTATGCAAGGCACATCCCACTGAAATTACTGTGAAAGGCTCTATTTAACTGCATGGGGCTTTGGATGCAGTTTCTATTTATTTCTCAGCACCTCTGCATCTCTCAAATGGTGTGACTGTCTTCCCACTCTGAGGAAGAAGTATCTGTTTTAAGCAGAACTCACACTTTGTGAATGTAAGTACAAGCTGAGAGAACAGTTGCATTGAAACAATCCCATAAGAATGCACTAACCTGCTACTCTCAAAACAACATCTGGTCGCATCTTAAGGCAAAATCAATAGGAAGTATAAATTATAAAGCATCTGAAAAGACAGTATCACTGTTGAGATTTTACAATATAAATTAATGTTAGGTAAAGAACAAGTGTACTTTACTAAAAGATTTCCCTCTGGAAAGGCTAGAGCATTAGTATCTTTATAACAAAGGTTATAAAAATAACTTCATTTTTACATGCATACCCTTCATCACTAAACCCAAAACTTTTTTTTGTGTGCTCTTAATGCAACAATCTGGTTTTGATTTTGACTCCCCCAGGAGCAAGGTAGGGCACTTTATTGTTAAAATTTATATTGTGCTTCTGGGCTGCACTTTCACTGCACCTAATTTAAGCTCCAATCTAACAAACATGTGCTTAAACACATGCTCGCAAAGACAATAGATCTACTATGCTCAGACTATTCAACTACTAACTAGGTACTTCACTGCTGAGGAAGACACAAAATAATCTGTGTGCAAAAAATTACTCTTTCATTTTTTGGAATTTCTAAGAAATGGTGTCTGTACTTACATACAGATCATTTTGATCACAGTCACATTTCATGCAAATGTAGAGCTAGGTTATGCTCTATTAATATCCAGCAGAAGAAGATCCAAAGTTTACTGCTTAAGGCAGAGGCTAGAATTGTTTTCCCAAAGGTGGAAATTTTCATTTTAATAGCAAAAAAAAAAAAAAAAAAAAAAAAAAAAGAAGAGTTCTGTGCCTGAAGAAGTTTAGTCAAATTAATTCCTGCAAAAAGCTTTAACCAAAACTGTTCCCAAGAAAATAATTGTTTCAAAAGTAATTCCCAAAGACTCTAATCATGTGAAGTATCAATGTCCCAGAACCAGATTAAATAACAGAAAGTATTACTGTTACATTAATTCACTTGCTTTTGTGGGTATTTAGTCATGTTTCCTTGTACCATAATTTCTGAGCATTCGAGATTTATCTGCACAAATATTTACAAATACTTGTTTGGTCTTGTATTCTAAATCTACCATGTACCATTTATGCCAAAGGCATTTGTTCATCTGTACAAATCAAAGAGCAAAAACATTCTGGTTTTGTACTTCTAGCTGTTGCTTTGTCTGTGTGAGAATATCTATCTGCATTGCTGTATCAGTTGAACTCCCAAATGTATATTCTTAATGCAAACAGCATCCTTTTATGGAATAACCAAGAAGAAAAAATCACCAGTTGTTCCATTAAGAGCTTCCACACAGAAAGTTACACTGCATAAATAATTGTGGCACATTTTCAGATACCAACAAACCCTGAAGCACTAAATCCATGTCAGAAAAAGTAATGAAATGAGGTGCAGCTCATTCAACCAACCACAAATAAGTAAATTACTCAAGTTGGAAATATATCTGTTCATGTATTGAGGGAAAATATTTTAAAAAATACTGCTATTAAAATATGTTATTGATAATAGGTGATTTCAAGGAAAGGGTGAACATTTAGGAATATTCTGTGATGGAGCAAAGCTTAAAAGACATTCATCATAAACTACTGGTTGAACTTTGTTGAACACAAGAATTATGCTGAGAAGTAAAGTAGTGACACTAGGGCAGAGTCAAACAAAGCAGTCAGAAGTGACTAAACCCAGTATATTTAAATGAATAGAAGAGCAAACAAACAATGTCATCTGGCACTCCAAAAGGCAAGGGCTTCTGAGGAACTGAATACAGAATCTGGAGGCTTTTGTAAAACTACTGGAATTTCAGCTGGTAACAGAAGTCTGTAGAGGAGCCCATGTGGCTGGCTTATAAATTCCACTTCCCTCCTTTTATACATTTTCAGCTGATTTATCTGGTTAGCTTGTCCAGCTCACAGTTACAAGCTGTCACAAAAATGGCAATGATGCTCAAAATGCAAAGAGGAAGGCCACATCTTCATGAGATACTCCACTGGTTGTGACAGGAATGATGGCTTTACAATGCACAACCACAGCAAGGTTGACTTGAACATTGCAGCAATGTATTCATATATGCCTCTAATCTCTACATAATTTGTATACTTAGACCAATTCCATAAAAGGAAAAAGGGGTGCTTTTTTTACTTTCCTATGTAAAAAAACATTCCTCTTGCAACTGACATTTCTGTTGAACAGCTTCAATAGGCTTCTTTTAAGCTATTTTCCATGAAAATTTAAAGACTGACAGATCTCTCAAGAAATGGATAGTTGAAGGCTGATTAATAATTATCATATATACTCCTCATAGGTGTGTTAGTGTTCTACAGCTTTTTCCCAAACTCTTCCTTTCTCTGTTTCAGAGTGTTTTTTCTCATCTCAGTCATGCTTTCTGCCTATTCTACTACTGTCTTCATGTTAAAAGCTCCCTTTTGCTTCTTTCTCTATTCAGTGACAGTCTTAGCCATTCTCTCTCCCTTACATTTGGATTTGTTCTCCATCCTTTAATTTATTATTCTCAACTGTACCCTAATAATTTATATTGCTTGCAAGCTGTAGGTTGGTGCTGTAAACAGTCCTTCCTTGCTATCTTCCTTTCTTTGTTCACTTTCCCTGTTTTTTCTCCTCTCGTCCTCTGGAGGCCTTTACTTCTTTTAATAAGCCACTATAAAGTTACTCCCTATTTATCTGCTGTTTTAACTCAATGAGTTTATGCAATTCAATGCCATTTCAAATACGTTAAGCCATTCAGTGCCATTCTTCTTTGGCACATTGTCTTCTTTTTCTTAAATACTCCTAAGCTAATGAATTGACAATTAATTAGAAATAGTTAATCTTTGCAACAGAATAAACACTACATGTTTAGTTTAGCTCCTGGGAAGCTCCTAAACTAATTTTTATGACTGTGTTGCTAACCATTCTCACTACTTGGCAGTCTTGTCAATGGAAATAGAAGTTCACTGAGCACATACACATGTCATAATTTGCAGAATGTTTTCTTTGAGGAGGATGCTTCTGCACCTGCTGCCCTTCTTTTCCTCCACTGCTGTTCTGAGGCTGCACAGCCTTTATGGACACTAGTTCTGTGGGTCATGCATATGGCTGAGCTTCACTAGCATAAAGACAGGTAAAGAACTAGCACAAACAGATTGAGATTCTGATTGGTTCTGTCCCAACTGCTTGTGTGAACCCTGGTGTGCCAGCTTAACAAAGGAGGAAGCAAAAAGGATGGAAAATGTGGCAAAGAAGATTTTTTAACTACTAGTGAATACTACTATATTTCCTACTGACTCCAAATTGAGGGAAAAAAAGACAATAGGAAGAGAAGCAGACAGAAAAGAACCCATCACTGATACGGCTATTTTGTGTGTATTATACACAAAATAAACCTGGTTAAAATGATCTTTTAAAAGGGTAGTTCTCAAGAAATGATTACCATGATGCATATGTAATCATAAAGTATTCATACCTGCTGAATTTGCTTCCTCTTCAATGGAGGCTGTGCAAAAAGGTGGTGGGGATAGGGTGAAGGTAGGGGTGGGGATAGGAAAAGGGAAGGGAAGAGAAAGGAGAGAAAAATACAGATGAAGAAATCTATACAGTCATTGTTATTTACATTCTCTTAATACACAAGCAATAAGACATCATGAAAAACTTCATATCATTTGATGAACTTGAGTAACAGATGCTTCACCTTAGTGGAGAACTAAGCTAAAATGAGTTAGGATTTTCACTTGCATTTGTAATATTACATTCTTAACCTTCCCCTCTAATTTAGCTAGTAGGATAGGGCCAATAAGACGATTAACAATGATCGACAGAGGAGTTTCATACAACTTCCCTGCAGTCAAATTCACAGCCAGAACTATCTGCTGCAGTACCACACAGGAGCTGCTCTGAAGGTAAAGCCTTCTAAAAAATCAAATGCTGGACCCAGCTATTTGGTGAACTAATGAAGGCTGCTGTCTGATGACACAACTAAGCCAGCTGCTGATTAGCAATTAATGAGAGGCATGGTGCACACTTTTTTTTCCCCCCTTTCTCCATCCTCCACCCCTTCTGTTCCCTTCAGTTGCTTCACAACTTGGTGCTGGCAGTAATGAATTAATGATACTGAAATTAAGTGGTAAAGTAGAAAATGCAGTTTTGGGGTTTGGTTTTGGGTAGGACTGGGGTGGGAGCAGTTGCCCACTGGACTTTCTATTCCAGATATTTATTGTTTCAGGAAAGCAATAAAAATCTTTATCCTAGAACCTTTCTCTTTTGGTGACAGATAACCATTAAATCACCTTTAGCTAACATCAGAAAGTGCCTCTCACTGTAGACTATCTATTGCCTGTACATTCAAAAGAAACAAAGAGATGTATGCATAGTAAAACTATATTTTAAAGGTACATCAGTGACTTAGCTCTTTTTCTCCTTCCAGTTAGTATGTTTTATATACACATGCATCATAAAAATGGTCTTCTCACAGTCCTGCAATGTTTTCAATGACAAAAAACACAGCTATGAAGAGTTTCTCATCTGGATACTGTGAAAGCACTTAGAAGTATTAGAGGACTCTACACAGATGTGATGTAGAGACCCTTTTAAGATATTAAACACACGTATCCATACTTCTATTTTTTCTCTTTTTGGGAGTCTTTTCCACCAGCTGAAATTGAAGCTGCTGTTTGACTTCTTGTAGAATCAGTTCATGTTTGCCGTGCTGTTAAGCAGTGATGGCATCAGAGTTTGCACTTGGCATGGATGAAGATTTCAAATATTTTCTCAAAGATCAGTGCTTGGTGAGTTGACTTCTTTGCCTTAACTATCACCTCCATGTATTATGTTGGGAGAAATTAGGGAAGCAAAAGGATGATCTTTCCTCTTTTTAGTGAAAGTCTGTCAGACACCAACTGCATGTGAGACCATGTACAGACCTTGACTAACTCAGTACAATATTCTATATGCAACTGTATGTGACAATTAACATGGACACATCAGTTATTCCTAACTGCAGAGTAGTATGGTGTCGTTTTGGGGCTGTCAGATCCAACAGATAGAAAAAGATGAATTACTGCTTGAAGTATCAGTCAAGCATCTTGTCTCTAACTAAAGTTTACAGAGGCAAATAGGTAACTTTTATTTCTACAACTTCATGTTCAGATAAACACTTAAGAAGGTTACATTATGCAATTAATTATCTAAAATGGCCTAAACAAGTACTTAACTGGCTAAACCTTCCCTTTTGTAACTCTTCATTTAGTGTCTAGATGTGTATTATGAACCTAGCTTGATCAATTTTGAGGTGAATACACCTAGAGATCACGTCAAGCTTTTAGTTTACAGTAACAGAAGGCTGTGCTGCCATACAGCGAGACCTGGATAGGCTGGAGTTGGGCAGGGAATAACTTGATGAATTATAACAAGGGAAAGTGTAGAGTCCTGCATCTGGGCAGGAACAACCCCAGGTTCCAGTATAGGCTGGGAACGACCTGTTAGAGAGCAGTGTAGGGGAGAGGGACCTGGGGGTCCTAGTGGACGACAGGATGACCATGAGCCAACACTGGGCCCTTGTGGCCAAGAAAGCCAATGGCATCCTGGGGTGTATTAGAAGGGGGGTGGTTAGTAGGTCGAGAGAGGTCCTCCTTCCCCTCTACTCTGTCCTGGTGAGACCTCATCTGGAATATTGTGCCCAGTTCTGGGCCCCTCAGTTCAAGAAGGACAGGGACCTGCTGGAGAGAGTCCAGCGCAGGGCAACTAAGATGATTAAGGGAGTGGAGCATCTCCCTTATGAGGAAAGACTGAGGGAGCTGGCTCTCTATAGTTCGGAGAAGACGAGACTGAGGGGTGACGTTATTAGTGTATATAAATATATAAAGGTGGAGTGTCACGAGGATGGAGCCAGGCTCTTCTCAGTGGCAAACAATGATAGGACAAGGGGCAATGGGTACAAACTGGAACACAAGAGGTTCCACTTAAGCTTGAGAAGAAACTTCTTCTCAGTGAGGGTGACAGAACACTGGAACAGGCTGCCCAGGGAGGTTGTGGAGTCTCCTCTGGAGACATTTCCTGGTTAAACTTATCTAGGTGTTCCTGCTCCGGCAGCGGGATTGGACTAGATGATCTTTTGAGGTCCCTTCCAATCTCTAGCATACTATGATACTGTGATACTGTATAATTACCAGATTTAAGTAAAATGTATTTGAAACAGTAGAGAATTTCAAGGCAATGAAAGAAAGAAGGGAAAATACCATCCTATTGTTTTTAAATTTAACTAATCAGATCCATCATTAGTTCAATAACAACATGACAGCTAATTCCACAAAAAAGGATCTACTTAAATCTTAAGAACAGTATCAGAAGTAAATCAGAAGCATGCTGTAGTTTCTCAAAGTACCAGTAACAGAGAGAACTATGCCAACAGAACAGAACATGAAAGTTAGTTAGAAGAGTCATTAAATTTTACAAATACCCAAAACCTCTATTAACTGCCAAGCTCAAATGCTGCTTGCTGCTTGAGCAACAGATAATTAAAGTACTACTGACTGTACATTGAGATTGGTTTATCAAAATTGTCCAATTATACAAAGAATACTCATTCCAGGAACAGGGTCTTTTTTTTCTGACTGCAATTTGAATAATAACCTTAATTATTGGAATGAATACTAACATCAGCAATTTACAACTGGATTATGTCATCACTCTAACCATGGTTGTTCCAGTGGGACCACTCTGCACTTAGGTACACATCTAAATAAAAGAGAATAGCTGAAGCTCTGCTGAAACAAATCATTCAAGTTGCAAGACAGCTATGTCAATAATGTTAGTTTTATGTTAATCTAATTGATTTTGACTATTCAATTGCTGATTTACGCTCTTTCAGGAATAGACTGTGTTAATTTTTTGTCTGAGTTAGAGTTACTGAGAACTGCTTCTGCAAAATGCAGAAGAGCTAGTTCTACTTCTCAATACTCTATTTCTTAACCCTGAACAGAAATTAAAGATTCATATTAAAAATAAATTTGAAAATGAAATTATAAATGTTTGTACTTTATGCAATTTAAAAAAAAAAAATCAAATTAACTTAATCTCTTACTATATGTGCCAGGTCTGCTTTCATCCACCGTAGCTTGATAAACCATGTTTAAAAATAAAGCCTTCCCTAAGCAACTGAATACACAAAGCATAAACTATTTTTGCTTTATCATAGTGGCTCAAATGCAATGTCAGCACTCTGCTTTCCACTTATTGAGCAAATGCACACCAAAAATTTCTTACACAATTTTTCTCCATCAGCAGTGATTTAAACTTGAAGTTATTTTAAAAGGCTATTTATACAGTGACCCATCTCCATGGCAATTATCTGTAATTCACTCTTTACTTATTTCAGAGGGGTCGAGAGGGTATAAACTGAAATTGCCTTTCTTAACTGAGCTAGCACAAGCTGGTGACTCACTACCCTGGGTGGTGGTTTACCATTAGCCTGACTTTCTCATTCTGATTCCAGAGTGGTGAGACTTGCACAGAGGAGCCAGGAATTTGACAAAAAAGCCTCCCAAACAGTCACGAACATCCCTGAGTCATGATGTGATAACAGTACTGCATGACCTTAAACTGTAATCTACTCTGCAGCTTTAAAGCATTTACAAAATGTTTTTCTACCCCCTTTAATGCATCATTGACAAAATATAAGAAGACATATGGCAGCCCAAATGTTAGTTTTTATCTTCTTAGAGAATATCTGATATTCACTTGAGAAAACTTAATCATGTTTTCCTTGGAGGTGAATAACGCTGTGTGACATTAGTGGTGAAAAAAAAAAAAAACAATCAAGACATGGGAAGTTTTGGAAACCATATTCCAGGATACATGTTGTCCAACATGTATCAGCTGAAGAATGTAAGGCAATGTTTGGATAGCATATGAACACCTAATGTCAGACCTCTGATCATTTCTGTTACAATGGTAGAAGCCTTAAAAGGTCTGGGAAAAATTTGACCTTTGAAGCATAGGTAACTTGAGGGAGGCAGATTCAGTGGAACATTAGTTTTGTGTTTATATTAAGGCATGTGTTACTTTCATATTAATGTGAAAGACATTTTCCTTAATATTCAAATAAAATGTAAGACTCTTTTATATGGAATAAACTTGAATATATGGCATTATCTCTAATGAAAAAGCTATGCAAGAGCTCTACAAAATCATCCAAATAAACTACTTGCAAACAGTAGGATACAAGAGCAGATAACATTTTTCTGAATGTAAGGTCAAAAATGAATTATATTCTGCTCAGCATCAAATCTCAGGATCTCAGAGGGCCTGCATGCTACGAAGACTGACTTTCAAAAAACTCAGCATCAGTCATTAGGAATGTGATTTTAATGCTATAGAACTTTAACTGAAAATATGTCCTTAGTCTGTCTTTTCACCTGCTACCCTGTCTTACAGAATTTAGTTCATTTCTCAATAAACTGGCTCTGTCTTTGGTTCTCAGCATGGCCCTTTGCACAGTAT